GACTGTCAGCTTGGGGAGAACTGTACACGTAGCTCGAGAGCGAAGTCTAACAGGCTGACAAGTGACCGTGCATCTATATCTATATTTATATCTATACTATTTATAAAAATACCTTAACAAAAAATAATTTTAATTCATTATTTTACCCTCATAAATAATTAAAAAGGTCATTTTATCCTTCCACACTTAATATTTAAATTACCATCATATCCTTATGCATTTAAATCTCTAAATAATATCTAAGATCACTTTTAGTTATATATTCCCTATATATAAATGTAAATTTCTATAAAATTTTTTAATTGATCTCTAAATTGCAGCTAAAATCACTTTTAGTTATATATTCCCTATATATAAATGTCAATTTTTATGAAACTTTTTTATTGATTATATTAATCTTAGAAAATATATGCGTCATTATAAGTTTTAACAAATATTCAAAAAAGCCTTCAAAAATTCCATCATATAATATTACTCACCTTATTTATAAATATAATATTATGACTGCATATTTATATTTTATTTTTCTTCAAAATGTTTAACCCTTTCATTTTTAAGATAAAAATATATATATATATATATATATATATATATATATATATATATATATATAGTTTTACATGATTTTTTTGTCACAGTAAATTTTTCAGACTTTATTAAGATTTTATGTGAAAACCTAATTTTTTTTTAAAAAAAATTTAATATGCTTTATAATATATATTACAGAATTGTATATTAAATTTGATTCTAATTAATTTAGATAATCCTAAATATATTAAGATTCCAATATGATTGGTATATTGATAATTATTTTTATTTTTTTCAATGATTTATAAGTAGAATTTTAATTAAATTAATTTTCTAATTATCTATTCTCTATTTATAAATGTCAATTTTTATGAAAATTTTTTATTGATTATGTTATTCTGAAAAAATTTATGCATTATTTTAAATTTTAACAAAAATTTCAAAAACTCCATCAATACAATAATATTCATCTTATTTATAAAGATAATATTATGACTACATATGTATATGTTATGTTTCATCAAAAAGTTTAACGATTTTATTTTTAAAATAAAAAATAATGTATATATAGTTTTACATGATTTTTTAGTCGCAGTAAATTTTTTAAACTGTGTTAACATTTTATGTGAAAACTTGAATTTTTTAAAAAATTTAATATTTTTTTATAATATATGTTATGACGTTGTATATTAAATTTTATCTCAATTAACCTAACTAATCCTAAATACAGTAAGTTCTAATACGATTGATATACTGATAATTATTTTTATTTTATTCAATAATTTGTAAGTGGAATTTTAATCAAATTAATTTTAAAAAATTTAATTTTCAAACATTACTAAAAAATCACTTTCAATTACAAAACTACATAAACAAAATAGAACTTTAATTATTTCTTTTCTTTTTTTTTATTATTTTTCTTAAAGTTAGAACAATAACTCTTGAAAATATACAAAGTTTTCAAAAATTTTATAGCGGAGCATGAGAGCTGAAAAAATAAATTTGATAAATTTGAGATAATATTTAATTCAAGTACCCATATACCAAATATATATTTATTAATTTTTTTTAAGAAAAATTATTCACATGCAACACACGTGGTGCATTGCTAGTATCAAATAAATAGATACATCACTGATATTGAGACATAATTTAAGAATATAATTTGAGGATATAATGTATTGTGACCTAATGAGTCTCTTCATATATTAAATATGAGTTACTTATTCTACCATGTTCATATTAGAGAGTACAAAACACAATTTTTAGTTCTTCAGATATACAAATCATAGTGTTTTTTGTGTATGATTGATCATTATATCCTGCAAGGCTGCAGACACAGGAAGTCCATAAATACCAATGTTAGGGCGAAATCTATTTGAAAGATATAATGTCAAACATTAGTCTTAATCAAAATCAATATTTATTTATGTCCTACAATTAAGTTAGTTTATATGTTTGATACTGTTATGTAATTGTCCGTGTTAATAGAATGAAATTCTTAATCATTCACGATCATGATGACAATGACCATAACTACTACCAGAATCACAATTATAGGGTATGACTAATTATCTGAGATTAATCATTTTTTGGCCCAATAAATATAAACCACCCATTATTTACGATATACATAAACTTGAAACTCGCATTTGAGACATGGAGAGAATAATACCCAACAAAAGGATATAATTGTTTGCGATTTAACAACAAATATTAACTCCTGATGAAGAAATGATTTATATTTATATTTTGTACTCCCTTTGTCGGATCCAAAAAATGGGCACTTAGCCCAATACTATGATCTGACCTGGTAAAAACTAAAAAGTCACTTAACCCAATCAAAGCGACCCATGCATAGTCCGACAAGAATCCCGATGAAATGATGTTGTAATCCTTTTCTGTCGGTGCGTAAGAAAACAATTTAAGTAGTTAAAAAATTAATTTTTTGATATTATATTTTTATTTTTATAATTTAATAAAGATATAATATTTGAAAAAAAATATTTTACCATTTTATTTTACTTTATCCATAAATCAATGAAACATCTAAAAATCTATGATTGTATTCGAATCGATAAGTACGACTTGTGAATCGAAAACCAAAATTAGACTCTTTTTGTTTTGAATTAAATCATGTATTAAAACAAAAAAACTTGTGTACCACAGACACACTACTATAAAAAATGAGAGTACATAGCTAGTAAGAAAAGCACGTAACTAGTGAAGCAAAATAAAAAGTAAACTTGGCACAAATAAGTTCAAAGAAATCTCCAATTAAATACCCTGAAGTTATTCAAATTAATTATTATGCTTAAGAAGAAATCTAAAAACTCAACCCACATGAAAAATTGGGCGAATGTGATTTTATTTTACTTTTTCCTGACAATTTGATAATTTTTGTCCAAAACAGAGTCATGTGGAGAGTTTTGTTTGCTCCTTGCATATTGAGTTTTATAGTTTAGTTTGTGTTTTTTGCATAACGACGAATCGTAACATTCCCTTAAAGTGGAAGTTGCAGTGCAAGTTCTTCTTCGTTAACATGAACGTGTTCCTTCCGAGTCAAATTATATTGCCATTATTTAAGATGGCGAATCCCCGGTCAATCCAAAACTCTCCTATTATGTATGGTTCACGGGTGATTGCTGAAAGGATGAATAAAAGGAGGAGGGGTGATATTCCTGTGTATGTAATAAGCACCACTAGCACTAGGTAGTATGTTTCTTCAACGTTCCACGGCATGCATTTGTTTCTTGTCTTGTGCATTTTTATTTTGGTTCAGTGTTCATATTTGTATTCGAGTGCAGGATTTGGTATTTTGTTGTTCATTTTTAATTTTGTTTCCATTAAATTCTCCAATTATTTCAATTTGTAAACTTTATTTTGTTGTGATTAGATTAAATTTTCTAATAATTTAAATTTGTACAATGTTATTTTGGTTCCATTAAATTTAGTAATTACTATCTTTAATTTCTATAAAGCTTTTTAATTTTTATGTACACTTTATTCTCTTACCGTTGGATTCATTTAGAGAAGTTGCTTCTTTTCTTTTCTTTTTTGTTTTTTGAGCCAAATTTAGAGAAGTGGCTTATCGTGATATTTTTGAGTTATTTTTAGGTTAATTGTATCAAATGACAAACTCTAGGTAAAATTAAAACTAATTTTTAATTAGGCCACGTCCAATAAAATAAAAAATAAGAAATAAGCCCACCCAAACTTCAAAACCCACTCCCTGCATCTTTTGATTCCCCAAAACAAAATTCCACCTTTCCACACCTGCCAACGCCTCACTCACCCACACATGGACATGGCCCTCTCCCTTCTTCTCCCCGTTTTTCTTTTTCTCTCTCCCCAGATCTCATCATTCTTTCCCATCCCTCTTCACCCTCAACAACATCCCTTACAGCAACGCCGCTGTTAAAAATGTAAATATTGTTGTTAAAGTGTGTTCATTCTCGAATAAATTTCTGGTTCCGCTCCTGTTAATTCCGATCTCTAATAGAACAAGGTTAGTAGTATTTCAATCGATTTATTTTCTTCCTGTTTTAATTTAAAGCCTGTCCAGTGTTCAGATTTGTATTCGATGCACAGGTTTTGGAATTTCGTTGGCCGTTCAATTTCTGTTTCCATTAATTTCTCCAATTATTTCAATCCATGTTCAATTTGGTTTTTGATTTTTATATTGGGTTCAGTGTTCATATTTGTATTCGAGTACAGAGTTTGACATTTTGTTGTTCATTTTTAATTTTGTTTTCATTAAATTCTGCAAATATTTTAATTTGTAAACTTTATTTTGTTCTGATTAGATTGAATTTTCTAATTATTTCAATTTGTACATTGTTATTTTGTGTAGATTAGATTTAGTAGTTATCATCTTCAATTTCTATAATACTTTTTAATTTTTTTGTACACCATATTCTCTTATTGTGGGATTCATTTAGCGAAGTAGCTTTTTTTTTTTTTTTTTTTGAGCCAAATTTAGAGAAGTAGCTTACCCTAATATTTTTGATTATTTTTAGCTTACCCTGTTTTTTTTTTTAGCACAGCTTACCGTTGACTGATGAAGTATACCTGTTCAAAACCATGTCATTAGTGGGAACAAATTTATATATATAAAATTTTAGTACAATTAATTCTAATTTTTAATTAGACCACGTCCAATAAAATAAAAAATAAGAAATAGTCCCACCCAAACTTCAAAACCCACCGCCCACCTCTGTTGATTCCCCAAAATTCCACTCTTCCACACCTGCACTCACCCACACATGGACATGGGCCCCTCTCTTCTTCTCCCTGTGTTTTCTTTTTCTCTCTCCCCAGATCTCATCATTCTTTCCTATCCCTCTTCTTCACCCTCAACAACATCCCTTATAGCGACGCCGCTGTTAAAAATGTAAATATTGTTGTTAAAGTGTGTGTTCATTCTGCCACAAATTTTTGGTTCCGCTCCTGCTGATCCCGATCTCTGATAGAACTAGGTTAGTAGTATTTCGATCGATTTCTTTTCTTCGTGTTTTAATTTAAAGCCTATCCAGTGTTCAGATTGTATTCGATGCACAGGTTTTGAAATTTCGTTGGTTGTTCAATTTCTGTTTCCATTAAATTCTCCAATAATTTCAATCAATGTTCAATTTGGTTTTTGATTTTTATATCGTCCTTTTAGACATCTTTCAAATGGATTTTTTGGTCTTTTTTTTCAGGACTGTCTCTCTCTCTCTCTCAATTTTATATTTATTTGTAAAACTTTGTTCTACTTGATGATCGGTTTTGGTTTTTAGATCTATTTTTACTCATTTTTTGAGTGGACTTTTTGGTATTCTCTTTCGAGGACTCTCAGAAATCTCGATGTTGATCTCTAACAGAATAAGGTGTACATGGATACTAAAATTAATTTTTGTTCCCATTAACCTCTCCAATAATTTCAATCCATAGTAATTATCGTGGGATTGACGTAGAGAAGTATTTTAGCCTTATTGAATTGTAAGGGATTCACTTTTTCATTTTCCTATTGTGTGGTGTGGGATGGTATCACCATTGTATTGAATGTTTGTTATCACTTATTTCAGCAGCCGTACACTAACCCTGATTGCCAAGTGTTGTCTATTGTTGAAAACAAAATTTTAGGTCATGTTTTTGTTATTCTTCATTGGAATTACTGATTAAGCTTGATCTTCATTGGAATTTTTAGAAACTTGGATGATGTTTTTTGTTCTTGGGCTGGTTATCATGCTCTATCCTTTTAGAATGCTCATTTTGTTGTGAGTTGGAAACTAATTTATGTCCGGAGCTCAAGTTTTTTGGGCTGAGCAGGTTCATTACTTTCCTTTATATATCTTATACCCAGGTTGGTGATTAAGCTTATAGATGCCTCTGTCTTTGGAGGATATTTGTTTATATACATCTGTAGTCGAACATTACGTTCTGAAAATATTCATATTAGCATTGCATCTTTCTATGTTTATATAACCAAATTACCCTCCAATAAATCATGTAAATTTCCATATTTTAGCAAAAATTTTGAATAACCATATCAACCTTTGCACAATTGATAAAGAGAACATTATTTTTTTTAGTAAAATATTAAAAAACGCGTTGACAACTCTATTAATGTAGTGATATCCCAAATGTCCAAAAACTAATATATTTATTTTGTCTCTTCATCTGTATGTATTATCCCCTTCTATTTTTTCAAAATTTATCAATTTGTTTACGGAAGACTTTCCTTGCAACTGATGTTTTGCATGGCTAGTATAAATAAAAACACGTTCATAAGTTAGCCAACCGTCTACTTCAAGAATATAAGCAATTTTTGGACGTTTTGAGTCTAGTCATAAGCAAACATTGGAAGACCTTTTAATTTATGTGGACAATTCAAATGAGGTCCTGCACCTTCTTTTACCAAATTTGTATTCTAAAACTACTTTATTTCATTTTTCTGATAGTGGAAGCAAGATCAAATCATCTCCTCCAAGCCACGAGATCTTCAAATATCTGGTGCCATTATTATTTGCTGCCGTCGCCATGAAGTGTCAAGTCAAAAATGTGGATCCATTTGAAGCACGCCCAATAAACATGTGGTGCTTTGTTATAGCCACAATCATCTACAGCATTACATTGGGAATAATGGAACGAAATAAAAACCATGCTGCAAAATACTTGCAAATCATAGACCATGTTATTCTCGTCTCTGGAGCTCTTTCTTCTGTCTCATTACTATCGGTCCTCCTCGCAGGCAGCCTCGGGTTCCTGGGTTTTTCTGTAATGCCATTTGTGCTAATAATAATAGCATGGAATAAACTCAAGTGTGGATGTTGTTGGCTCTATGACAAAGCAACCAATCTAGTTACCTTCATTCCAGATATTCGGAATTGGTCCACCTAAGGCAACGTGGCATGGCAGCGCAGCCAAATCCATCACTGCGAGTGTAATCCTCTCCGCTCATCCTCATGGTGTTGCAGTCGTTCATCTTGAAGTGTTTTTGTTGTAATAATCAGTAGGTTGGACTACTTTGTCCACTTTTGATTGATCCTTGCTTTGTTGTTTTTTTCCAGTTATTAATAAAATTGTTGTTTCTTAGCAAAAAAAAAAAGAATGTGTTTGGCAGCCCATTCAAATGGACTTTTGGGGTCATAGAAGTCTGTTTTGAAAAAAACTGGTCTGTTTCATTCGAGATTCGAGATGGACTTCCACCAATAGACTATCTCCTAAATGCCGATTTTAAAAATGGGATTTTCAGTCTTCAATTTGGGATTTGGTGTATGTGTAAGTTTCAAAATAATGGGTCTCTTGCATTTCTTTCAAAGCTTAATGGGTACTAAAAACCATGTCATTAGTGGCATATAAATTCTTATCAAAAAAAGTAGTGGTGTATATACACCTTCTTTGTGTAAATTGACCTGTGCTTTCAAGAATTGGCTTATGCTTGTGTTTCTGAATGACGGGTTTAAGTTGGTTGTATCGTTACAGCATCAGGTGTTGAGCTAGAAAAGATATTTAATTGGTATTCTTCTGGATCTTACTTGGTAGTATATTCTGCATATTCTTGTGCGTGACTTCCACTAATGTTATATACTTGTATTAATCTTCGTGAATATAAAATGATGGAAGATTGGCATTCTAGCTTTTTTGTGTGTTTAAAAATCACAATGGATTGTTTGACTCAAGAATTGGTCTGTATAGGGGTTTGTAAATGGTGGGGCTCTTTACTTTTCTTTTCCAATCAAAGGACTTCTTTTCTTTATGGAAGATTTGAACCGTAGAAAATCTGAATCTTGACAGATTGTAATAATTTGACTCTACTTGTGGTTATGTGTATGCTAAAGCCATTCAAGAATTGATGTGTATATTTATGCCTGTGAATGATCAATCTCTTACATTGATGTAATGGGTGGTTCTTTTTTCTAATCTTACCCTTGAATAATTATATGAAGTGTATATTGTAGTTGTAATCGTAACAACATTAAACGTGACTTCTGTCATGTGTAATATTAAGTCTCAGCTTCTTTGTCCTCTCCTCCTCCTCATGCTCTGTTTCCAAATTTTAAAAGATTAGTATGTGTATAGATGTATATAATGATTGATCATTTTTGGGTTTTGTTTTGATTGTGAATTGGGTTTGTTTTACAGGCTGGTGGATGTTTGGGAGGGTACCCAAGAAAAGTGATGACACAAAGTGCTACGAAATTCTTCATGTTTCAGGGAATGGTTTGAAAAGATGATCTGAAAGGAGCCTATAGAAAAGCAGCCATCAAGAACCGTCCTGATGGAGGGTGGTTTTCCAGTTAAGGTATATAATTTTTGTATATTTTTTTATTGATCAGGTGCATATATAAGTAGATGCAATTTGTGTTGAAGTTGTTGATGGTTCTTTATAGATCATCTCAGTCAATATATTTTCTCTTTGGACCTCAGTTTATGAAGGATTTTGAGAATATCCCTTTTTTGGTATTATGGCAAGTTGAAATTCATCATGGCATTTGACAAGGTTTTTTGTTCCTTGTAGTGCCACGATCTGTTTATGGATTTTCTCGTGGTTTCTAGTTGGACGACTTGTCCACCTTTGTTTTAACTCACGTGATACTTTGTTATATTAATTATGAAATTCTGTTTCTTATCAGGCAAAAGAAACATGTAGTTATCTTGTTAAGCAGATGGGGAAAAGTAATTGGTGCCTACTCTGCTATGATATGCATTGTGTTCAATTTATCACCTTCTTTTTTCTTTTTTCTTTTTTTTTTGGCTACTTACGGCTTCCAATGTTTCTCATGCAAAGGAAAGTGCTAATCATATTTACACAGACCAAAAAAAAAAGTGCTAAACACACCATCATTTATTGGTGCACAGAGATACCTATCGATGGCCTCCTTTCCTTATTCACCTATTGCAGAACGCAAGCAGAAATAGTAAAATGTAGCCAACTGATTGATATGCTATCAATTTTTTCCGGCCATTTTTTTAAGAGCTACAGTTGGTGCTGGAGAGAGATTTTTCCCTCTAAGGACATGGCATTGAACTAGTTCTGCCCAAGCAGCTGAAGCTCCGAAACAAGCTCTGGAAGGCTCCACCAAGGGATGTAGATTTTTTTCCAGAAGAATTTGATGTTTGACATTTTTCTCTCAATTGGAACATATGATTCTTAGTACTTACAAAACTTTTCTTGGTCTTACTTATGGTGGCTACCAGTTAGAAAAGAATTGTAGTTAAATCAGTCATGTTATACCTCCAAACTAGTGTGAGCATGCTGTAATCCGTTGTTCTGGCACGAATGACGTTTTATTCACCTTGATTTGTTTTATTCACCTTGATTGTTGTTGCCTAACTGTTCTATTCCGTTTGTGGAGAAAAAAAAGTACAGAACAACCTGAAATAGATAAATGAATTGTGGTGTTAATCTATTTTGAAGAGATTGATCCTTGGACTTGAATTCACAAAATGTTTACATATTCTTCTCTTTATCTTCATGTGGTCTGCAGATAATACAAAAGTCAACAGGACAACCATCCAAGTCACTTGTTTCCATTTATATATATTGACAACCATCCCAAGTTTTGTTATATATATATTAGTTATTGTCTATATGTGAAGACGCAGAATAATAAAAAAAATAGTTAACAATAAATATATTTGTATTCACATCTAAAATTAAATCATAAATATAGAGGGATAAAAGAATTTAAGTACCAGTTATCATGAGAGTGAGCGATGATAGTGGTGGTGGGTGGTAGTGGTGATGGTCGTGAGGGGGTGGTGGTGAGGCGATAGGGATAGTGGTGGTAGGGGTGATGGTTGGACAGTGACGATAGTGGTAATGGGGTAGAGGTGACGGTTTTGAATTGATAGTTTGAAATATTTGAAAATTACATCTCTATAACAATAGTTTTGTTCATAAAATTCCTTGCAACTTAGACGTTCGCCAAGATTGCAAACATTGACGTGGTTCAGAATTTTACTATGTCACTTTTGAGGTCCCTTTTTCGATCATTATGTGTGTTTAAGATATTAAACCATGGATTATATTTTGGAGCTCTGTTATTCCATTTGAGTTCATTAGAATTGAAAGCCACATGTATGACTTAACATTGATTGGATCCTACTGTTTTCCTCTCAAATGTAATAATTGGGGCATGGACTTGAAAGTCCATTGATATGCATATGGGATACAATTTGTAATCCTTATGTTAGCATCTTTATGATACATTATGCCAAGTACAGTGTCATGTAACCATTAGTTGTAGTTTTGGGCTAAAAGATGAAGTTTAGTCTACTTGGTACTGGATTGCTTGCTTAATTCAAATATGCATGTAGGCCAGAATTTGAAGCTCCCTATTAGTTCCATATTATGGAATGATTATGGATTATTCAAACGCCAAGAAAATTGTTTTTTTTTTTTTTTTTGTGAAAATTGGTCTTACACAATTATATACAATATTTCATTCTTAATAGAGTCCACGTGCAACGCATGTGACCATAAACTAGTGGAAAATGTGTAGGGGACAAATTTTAAGTTGCTGTGTGATTTATTATATAGGGCATAAAATTTAAGTTCTGTTTTTATCATATATATATATATATATATATATATATAGTAGCACGATCATAAAAATTATGTACCGTTATGTCTTGTGGGTATTTTTTATGTGGGCCATTACATCACGATCTAGCGGCAAGTTATCAAAGAAGCCAAGAATTAAACATATATATTTGGGTTGAGCCCAATTTTAGCAATTCGGGTTGAACTTGATAATTTGACGGATCAACTCAAATATTGCCTGAATTTAATTTGAGTTGGACTTTTTTGGCTCAGGAACAACCCAAATTTAAAAACATGAAAATTGAAACTAAGTCTTTCTTAATGGACTTATAATGATTTGAATCCGTCAAGAAAATTTATTTGGTGATAAATACTTTTTCTATCTTACTAATAAATAAATGTAGTAGAGTCTTGTAAGAATGTAGATTAATTAGGATCGTCGGATCAAAAACCTAAAAATGATCTGAACCGCGAAAAACTCAAGACAAATCAAACTAGCTACTTTATTATATAGATATTATCCTCTCTTAAATAGCATTTCTCACTTCATTTAATTCTCTTATTTTTAATTATTAATTTTATCTCATTTACACTGACCCTCAATAATTAAAAATTAAATTCATTCAATTTTATTTTAATTTATTATATAAGTTATGATCAAAAATTTATTTCAGTGTATTATTTTAGTACAAAAATATTTTAGAAATAGAATAAAAAATAAATTATTTATTTTTAAAATATTAGTAGAAATATATTAAAATATTTTAAAACACCTCAAGATATTTCAAAAATATTAGTAAAAATATGTTAAAATATCTCAAAGCACCTTGAAATATTCTTGATCACCTCATAATATTGAAATTTTCCTTAAATTACTACTTCTGTTTTGATTTTTTTAAATTATATATTTAATAGTTTAATTAGATATGTATAAATAATGTGAATTTAGTCATTAATAAAGTTGAAAAGAAAATTTAAGAGGTAAGAATAACCCAACGCATCTTATAATTCTACCCTATCCTGTAATTTCCTCCTTTTTTTTTGGGTGTTGTGCTACAATGCTACACAACCCTAAACTTGAAAGAGTGGAGTCAAATATTATATCAACCCTTTGATGATATCATCAACGATATCCTTTTTGACAATGCAGCCTAGTTTGACATCTTATGTGTAAAA